GGAAAAATTCTGATTGGCGTATGCACTGTGCATATTGCATTATACAAAAGCCTGTTATGGTTTTTTCTTTGAACAATTTTTGCAGTCTTATTTTTATTAAAAATATAATTCTAAGTTTATGGTGATAAAAGAGATTTTTTTCATTTAAGAGAGAGAGACTATCTACATATTATAAAAAGATATATTGAAGGAAGAATTAATACGAATTCAAATCGAACATGGGAATTTTTTTGCGCAAGAGATTTATTATAATAAAAGATATTTTTTAATTTTATTACTATCGGTAAACGTAGATCGCGCGGTTTATCGCGGCCGATAAGACCGATTACTTGCTTGTTGATGTGGATCTACAAAACGCGCGAAATCCATATGCTTTGACTTTCCAACAAAAAATCCAAAATCGAGATATAAGATATTTTAAAGATATCTTTAAAATGTCGTTTTATGTCTCGTTTTCGAACGTGCGTGTTATCTGAGTTGTGAAATCGAATAATACAATACAAAAATGATTAAATTTTATTATTGTGATTTCATTTTAATGTTGATAAGTAAAAACATATTAGTAAAATAGTAAGTTTTATGTAGTCCATTACAACTACAAATAATAAGTTTCGATAGTTCACAGATTGATGTTGACACAGATAACACTTGCAAAGTAATTTATATTGTATACTCGTAGATGTAGATTATTACATTTTACGCATAAATATACAAGAATTATTTTTTATACCAAATTAATTAAATCTGTATATAAAAATATCTTTAAAAAAGAAAGTTTTGTGACTATCCATACAGCACGCGTGACAGTTTGATGACTAATTTCTACCAATATAGATTAACTTTAATCTCGGTTCATCTTAGGTCAGAATCAGACTACGCATTGAAGAATGAGATTGAAGATTGAAAGTTTAAAGTTTGACCAATCAAAAAGAGCTAAAATTTCTTTGTCCTGATTGGTGAAATTTCAATCTTTAATCTTCAATCTCAATCTTTAATGCATAATCTAATTCCGGCCTTACTCTTCGTCTTTTTTAAATCTTTAGAACTAGAAAAAGACGAAGAGTAAGTTAAACCGAGATTAAAGTTAATCTATATTGGTGAAAACGAACAGAGAATAATCGACTTTAATCAATTTAAAATCGACTTGTAAAGTCGACTTTTCTAGGATGGCTAAAGCAGCACTGTTAAAAGTGATAGATGCGCACGCACGATCGATATTTCCATCGATATAATGATTCTCGCAATCCATAATTTAGAGCATCTAGAGGATTACATTTCTATTGTTTATACACACAAGAATTGCGTCAGATTGTATGGTATTGTTGATAATTGTTAATTCATTGGAAGTTAATTGTTCGTGATTAAGTTTCGTTCGAAGAACAATTGTCGCGATCTCTGACAGTCGACCTTGCCACAGATTTGCCACAGATCGGCAGGTTTACAGCAATGGATTAGCAGTTGTTAACAGTCATCAGTCTTGCGTTTTCGTTTGGCTCTTAATTCTTTGGATGATTACCTCACGACGAAGTGAAAATGACATCACAAGAACAAATTCCCTGTAGTCTGCCCGATACACAGAACGCGGATGCTATATTGACACAATCGCAGGAGGTATCAAGCCAGCAGCAAACGATGGCCGTTTGGGGAAGATTGTGTCCTAGGAGGCCATACTTACGAAGTCTAGGTAAGAGCTCGTTTCTTGCATAGGTAGAATCTTCTTGGAATCACTCTGCTTGTTATGTTAGTTCTTCAAAATTAATTCAAATCAGAGTCCTAAAATTTAAATTAGGCAAATAATTACAATAACATTTTTTTATTTTATTTCAGAAATGATGAAGGATACCATTTACACCTTAGGACGCTCTCCAAGCTGCGACATTTGTTTAACTTCAAATGAGTTGCAAAGTAAACAGCTAAGCGTTATTAGTAAGACACACTTTCGCATATACAGGGAGCGCGTTGGTAACACGAACGAGATTGTAGTGTACCTAGAAGATTCAAGTCACAATGGAACTTATGTTAATCAGGAATTGGTTGGTCATGGAAGACGTGTTATTATTGGAAATAATTCCGAGATAGCTTTAGCCAAGAGTTCCTTCTCATGTACATACCTATTTTTCAAAGCTCAATGTATAAATTATTGCTTGATGATAAAAAAAAATTAATCTAATTGCAGTTTATATATTCGTGAGTGCAAATGTTCATGAAATTGCTTATGAATTACCACTGGGGCTGAAACAGAGGTATGTAATTGGCCGTAGACTAGGAACTGGTGCCTGTGGCGAAGTGAGGCTGCTATTTAAAAAGGATGGTTCCGAAACATTTGCTATCAAAGTTATACAAAAAAATTATTTTAGCGCCGGAACTGGGAACATTCTCAATAATCCGGCGAATGTTCGGAACGAAGTTGAAATATTAAGAAAGCTGAAGCATGTAAGTTCAGATATATTTAAGGCATCTCTTTTGTATCATTGTAGTTGCCAATGGAATTTTGAATTTTTATTTCAGCCTTGTATAATTCCTTTGAAGGATATTTTTGACACGACTGAAGTTATGTACATTATTCTTGAATTAATGGAGGGTGGTGAGCTTTTTGATAGAATAAGAAGCAAAGGAAAACTATCTGAATCATGTGCAAAACTGATATTCTATCAAGTTGTACATGCTGTTTATTATCTTCACAGACAGGGAATTACACACAGAGATTTGAAGGTAATTTTAATTGAAGAATTTAAAACATTAGTTGTATGTTTTACATGGTTATATCAATATTACATTATTAGATTAAAAAAATTTACAGCCAGAGAATATACTGCTAAAGGACAATTCGGAAAATCCTTTGGTCAAAGTATCAGATTTTGGCATGTCAAAATTCGTAGATGCCCAAACAATGATGAGAACATTCTGCGGGACTCCTATGTATGTTGCACCCGAAATTTTGGCAACCAATGGACGCAGCTCTTATACAAATCAAGTAAGTATTTAAATTATAGAAGCCCAAATATTCTGGCGAAATTTTAAGATTTAATAGGAAATTTACTTCTCCAAACAAAATTCCTGTAAACATGGTCAAAAAACGCTTTCTTAAACAGCTAGAACCCAAAAATCTCAAAAATCATTATTTTATACATTTACAAATATCTGGAGAAATATGCGTTTTTTTCCCCAAAACGTATCAAAACAAAAATTTTAAAAAATTAAATTATCTTTTAAATGAAAAATCAAAGTGATTGTAGTATGTTCTATTTCTATTAACTAAGATAATTAGTTTCAAATATATAAAAAAGTATTTAGTATACTTACATTTTTATTATTTAATTTTTCACGAAGTTTTCGCTATAATAACATTATCCTCGAATTTTAAGATATCCTGTATAATAATACTATATATATGTATATATATTTTAATGAGAAATAATAGTGAATATAAATTTTTTTATTCTCAGAATCATAGTTTTATCTAAGATTTGATAGGAGGATCGATTGCAGAATGTTTGCACAATGTTTTAAATTTAAATTCCAAATTCTCTTTAAATTAAGCATCGACAAATGATCTCCGATCTTCGTTATATATTATATATATTATTATATATATTATATATATTATTATATATATAACGAATATAATATCTTTCCTCTTGAATATGCGAGGTTGCAAGACTAGGAATCGAATCTGAATCTTTTTCTTTATAACTGCTCTATCACTATCATTCTCGCAAAATAATTATGGCCATTTGGATATACACTGTCAATATTGAAAATTTACAGTATACGTAACGTGAACTATAGATTTTCAGTAGTCAGTGTATATCTGAACACAGCTTATGCAGAAGAATCGTTTATATTTCATTGGAATTCTTTCAGGTCGATGTATGGAGTTTAGGAGTAATATTGTATGTTAGTTTAAGTGGCAGGGTTCCTTTCTCAAACAATAATGCCACTTTAGCAGATCAAATTAAGGGTGGAATGTACGAATTTGGATCATATTTTACACTAGTATCGCAGGATGCTATAAATCTGGTACGTAATAATGTCTGTATTTATTAACTTTGCAGTTAATGGAATATCGCGTTGTTCTAGATTAAACGTATGATGACGGTGAACCCAAAGAAACGTATAACAGTGCCACAGATCTTGTTACATCCATGGTTACGTGACATAAATATGCAAAGAGAAGTCAACAGGCTGATGTCCGGTGTTATCCTTAATGAAGATAATGACGAGAATTTACCACCTTCGAATATCCATCCGAATAAACGCCCTCGGCTTATTTGAAAAAAGAAAAACATAAAAAAAATCTCATAAAAAATATCTCAGTTCGCGAGCAAAAGTGGAGGCATATCTAGTGTCCTCTTGATAGATCTAGCTTTTCGTTAACATTGTGATACATGTATACGTTACCCACTTAGAATAATTTTCATTTAAAAAGCGAGCATTCAATAGGTTTTGATAAATTCAATATATCGAAAAATTATAAAGTTTATAAAGCCTCAATCTTTTAAATCTCCATGTTTAATAGTACAACAAGTAGAAATAATATTTTTTTACTTAATATACTTAATGATTAACTCAGTATTAAAAAATCGAGAAATAGATAAATAAGATTTATATATTCTACGATAAGATACATATAGAATTTTTTGTACAATATATTCTTTTATTTTGTGACGTATCTCAATTTGATGAATACAAGAATTTATGATCCAGAGACACAGTAGTGTCTTGGCATTATTTAACTTAGACGTATTTGTGATATATGACATAAGTAAAATGTACTAAAGATTATTGATTAATATTATAAGTGCCAATTTATAACTTTATAAACTTTGATTAGAAAATTTAGAATATTTCAAGGATATAGCAATGCTAATAAAAAGAGATCAAGACTGCCTTACGTTTAATGCCAAATGTGCAAAGAAAATGTAAGTTTAATTTATCTTTTACATTTAATTATCGTTACGAGTTTATTATCTCTTGTACAAAATCAACCTTAGTGCTCAATTATGCTAAGTTCTTTATTCAAAGTGATGGACTTCATACAATAAAGAAGAACCTTTCGCGAACTATATTCTATTTTTTTATTCCTTTTTACTTGAATATTGATTTACTTGAATATCCTCCTTTTGACAGAAATTCGGAAGTGCTGTCTCAAGGTCTGGCTTCTCTTTCTTTGTAAGTCCGGCTAGCAAACGTTTTAATTGCGCTATTGCTCTTCCTGGATTTAGACCCTATTGGATACAATATCGTATGACGATTAAAATTAAAATCTAGATATATAATTTCTTTTGAGGGAACTAAACTCTTTTTGTACTGCAGGAGAAAAAATAACAATGAATAATGTCGTTTAAGATTCACCTTTGGACACGTCTTTGTGCAATTGAAGATCGTGTGACATCGATAAACCGAATAGTAGTCTCGTAACTTCCCCAGCCTTTCTTCATGTGCCATGTCCCGCGAGTCTATCACCCACTTGTATGCCTAGTGAATAGATATACATGTAAATAATGATACATCTTCATTTTATTTGCCGTAGAAAAATGACTTGTTACCTGCATTAGCACCGCAGGTCCTAGATACTTATCACCGAGCCACCAATAAGGAGGACATGAAAATGCGCAGCATGCGCACATTACGCATTCGAACAATCCATCGAGCTTGTTCCTGTCCCTTGGACTTTGCAAAATTTGCCGCATACCGAGGGAATCGTCCTCACCCGGTCGCTTTAGATGCGGATCGATTTTGCGAAATTGTCCCAGGAAATGGGACATATCCGCAATTAAATCTCGAATCACATACGTATGCGGTAAAGGATAGATCACCAATGGCTTCTGAGATTCTTTTATTTGCCTGAAAATTTTAAGCAGTTTCGGTAGTAACGTTAATGTGATTTAAGAAGAGATTTCTTTTGGAAGTAAGTTTTATCGCGAAGAAAAGGCTAGAAAAGTAACTACGTAAACGGAAATATATGGCATATAAAATTAACACGACCATTTTAAATTCCAGACATTCACAGATCTCCAAGTATTCAAAGTGTCCCACATCTAAAACACTAAAATTATCCACATATCGAAATCCTAAATATCTGAACTACCAAAAATACATCAAGTTTTTCAAGGATCAAATTCAAAGAACTCAATATTCCTATCGCCTGATTTACCGACATTAAAAATTTTATTTTTATATTATTGAACGATATTACGTTATGCAAGCCAAGGTATTCACGCCGTTTATGTTCATCCCGCAAGATCCACAGATGCCCTCGCGACAGGATCTCCGGAAGGACAATGTCGGATCGTGCTGCGCCTTGATCAATATCAATATGTCTAGCATCATCTTGCCGCATTTGTTCAGATCTATGCTGAACTGTTGCATGTACGGTTTTACTTCCGGCGTTTCTGGATTCCATCGATACACACGTACAGTTTGTAGCCTCGGCCCAACTTTTGCCTCCTACAAAAGATATTATTATAAATAATAAATCACATCTAAACATAGTGTATGTACGTATGATCTAAGTCCTTCAATTTTTTCAAAAATTTCATGATTGAAGATTCTTTTTTCATATTGCAATATATTATGCGCGAAAAGAGAACTTGTCTCAATATTATAATAATCAAATGTCCCAGTTTGTTCTTTATAAAAAAAATTCTATATCCTAATTCTTCTCATCTTTCCGTTTTTTTGTCTTTCTAACATTTGTATATTAATATCAATTTAAATGTAGAAAGTAAAATTACAAAGAGCAGATTTTTAGATAATACAAAATAAAGCTACGACTCGCTAACGATAACAAAAAAATGCATAGCACGTTGTAAGAATTCGGATTCGAATTTTGCATATTGAAGACAGAGGAAGATCCTTTTCTCAAGTGCGCTTTTTCTCAAGTGCGGGATGACTAACTTTTGAAATCGTTTTACACGCAGTAACGCCAGCGATTTCCGCCGCCACCTCTGGGTCCTCGCTTGGAATTTTCTTGGCTGATGTTGACAATCTCAATTCGCAAATGCGCGCGAGTCCCCGCGACCAGAAACGGCTCGTGGATACGCTTCTGCTCACGGCAGCATACATGACCCACTCCTCGAATGACCTGTCGTCGTCCCCACGCTAATACAATATTATCTCGAGGATATCTTCGTGATGTCACGTCGCACTATTTCAATCATTACGTCTCATCGCGGTCGCATTTATCTTAGACTCGTCAAACGTCACATGAACAAAATATCATCGAGGACGAACTTCACGAACAGTCTATGACGAATTTATATCAATTTATATTATCGATTCATAAGACATCTTCGACAGTTTAAATTTCGCTTTAGACGATAGAACTTGAGCCAAATTTCAGCTTAGAGTTCTGTTTATAATTTTATGTGCCACGTACTTTACTATTTCTGATTGTCTTCACAGATTTTTGTACAAGAAGTACACATCCATAGACTTCTATAAAAAGTCTGTGTTTCTTAATATATATTTTATATATATTTGTATATTCCAATTATATATATATATATAAAATTATATATAATTATACATATAATAAAATATTTATTCTCTGGAAGTATTTTTATTACACGGCACATGAAATAATAAATAATAAATTATTTTGATTTTATCAATTTTATTTATTGATTTTATTTATTTATTAATATATTTTTTGCAAAACGCAAAGCGTGCATTCTTGTCATTTGTTTGTAAAATGATTTTTTTAATTCAGTTCATTGTACGCTCAAATTATTAGAAATCGATTAACCGCTACAAAGTTATTTTTGATTTAACAGAATTTAGATTGCATTACGTTGTTTGTCATAATGCAAACAAGTTACAACAATCGAGATAAGAGTGACGCGCTTGACCTATGGTCATCAAATAATTTCGTAATTATTTTGTTGAGGAATGTTGAACGGAGTTTCCGTATCGCAATGTGACGTATGTCCATTTATTACAAATTTATAGAATAACGTCGAAGTATTGTTTACGCAATTATTTCGAATAATCTATCGGAACACTGAAAATTATTAAATATCTGTTAAATGATTAGTAATAATCTGTCAAATTGTTTAAAATTAAAAAATAGCAATAGTAGTAAAAAAAACTGAAAATTGTAACAACATTAGAATTGCAAAAGATCTATATTATCTCTATCGCGCGCATTTATTTGTATATTACAATATAATAATGATGTAAACATCCTCATCGAGACTGTTTAAATCGCCTACTGAAAGATCGTTGGGTCATCGCGCGAGCGATATACGAGTTATTTGGAGTTATTATAGATTAATCCACGAAGAACGAGAGATTAAGCCGGTCTTTCGTTGCGTAAAACGCTATTGGTGGGCACACTTCGTTAGTCATCATTGTGTTGCTGTTGCGCCGAGAACGAATTACGCTGACCACCTGTAGCATCCCACATTTCATTCACAAACATAATCACCGCGTTATTCAGAAAAGCCACCGGAGATTTCTCATTATTGACGCTCGTAAACAACGAATATAATTAACAGCTACTGTTTACAGATTACAAATTGGAGCAAGGTGAGTGACGAGGAAAGATAGTTTTGCTTGAAATTATTAAATTTGGAAATTACGAATGTCGTCGATATTTTAATAATTCTGAATAAATCACTCTCGTGATCATCGTTTTGAGAAAGCACGTTGAATATTTACAGATGACACAGTGCACGGTTCTTGTAATCGGCAGCGGTGGTAGAGAACATGCCATTTGTTGGAAGTTATCTCAGTCGCCGTGTGTAAGTTAAGAGTTCATAAACAATGAATAGCAATGTAACAGAGATTAATACAATTTAGGTTTGATGTAGGTAAAAGAGATCTTGGTTGCTCCTGGAAATATCGGCATCAAAGAAGTGAATAAAGTGCAATTAGTTGATTTGAACGTCAAGAATACTAAGGTATACATATAATGTCATTTTATAATTTTTTTCTTGGATCAGTTATGTAATATTATATTTTTTCTGTAGGAAGTTTCCAAATGGAGCAAGAACAATAATGTTGATTTAGTAGTGGTGGGGCCAGAAGATCCTTTGGCTCAGGGATTAGCAGATGATCTGAAAAACGTGGGAGTGAAATGTTTTGGTCCTCAAAAGAAAGCAGCCCAGATTGAAGCCAATAAAGATTGGGCAAAACAATTTATGGACAGAAATCATATTCCTACTGCTAGATGGCAAGGTTTTACTTCTGCTATAGATGCAAAGAATTTTATCAAAAGGTAAGGAATTTGAGGAAGATGATCCCAGCAAATGAGAATGGATTGAAATGAATTGAAATGAATTCAGATTTTCAGAAATATTGATTCACGAATGTTAAAATGAATGCTTTTTAATCCTAAATGCATTTTTATTCGTTTATAGGAATTGCATGGAGCATATCTCTATGCCTTTCAATCTAAAAATAATATTAGCTTTTTCTGTGCACACACGCAAACACAACAACACATTATGAATACTTTAATTTAAAATTTTGAATAGGAAATGCAGTTTTTCAATAAAATTGCATCCAATTGAATCTAATTAAATCCAATTGAATCCAATTAAAACCAAAAAAAAGTATTCGCTATTTAAAATACGCATTCGGATAGAAAAAAATTTCAATCCATTTTAGTCCATTTTCGTTTGTTAGGATATGAAAACTTATATACTTTCTTTTGTCATAGTGCTCCATTTAAGGCACTTGTGATAAAAGCCTCAGGTTTAGCGGCCGGTAAAGGTGTAGTAGTGGCAAAAGACCAGCAGGAAGCTTATCAAGCGATAGACGAAATGTTAAATGATAAAAAATTTGGGATTGCTGGCGAGACTGTAGTTGTCGAGGAACTTTTGGAGGGTGAAGAAGTATCTGTACTTGCATTTACAGACGGTAAACAAGATTATGTTTATATATGAATAGTTTTTAACAGAAAAAAAATTCAAATTTGGCATTTAGGTAAGACTGTCGTACCCATGATGCCTGCACAAGACCACAAAAGAATCTTTAATGGAGATTTTGGTCCAAACACTGGTGGAATGGGAGCGTATTGTCCATGTCCATTGTTAAGTGAAACAGAATACGAAGAAGTGAAAATAAATGTTCTTCAGAAAGCTGTCGATGGACTTAGAAAGGAGAACATTCCGTTCGTAGGTTTGTAATTTTCTGTTGACAATGAATGATGTTAAATTATGAGTGTGTATTATTTATATGAAATTTGCAGGAGTATTATATGCCGGTTTAATGCTGACTGAAGATGGCCCGAAAGTCTTGGAATTCAATTGCAGATTCGGCGATCCCGAGACTGAAGTAGTATTACCGCTGTTGGCATCGGATCTGTTTACAATTATGAAGGTACAATCAATTAAACTTACCTAGCAAAGAGCGAGAATGGATTGAAATGGATTGAATTTTTTTCTATCCATTTGCGTATTTTAAATGCGTATTTTAAAAATAACGAATACTTTTTTTTTAATTTAATTGCATTCAATTGGATTTAATTAGATTCAATTGGATTGAAAAACTGCATTTTCTATTCAAAATTTTGAATTGAACAGTATTCACAATAGAAAAGGTTAATATTTTTAGATTGAAAGGCATAGAAATATGCTCCATGCAATTTCCATAAATAAATAAAAATGCATTTAGGATTGAAAAGCATTCATTTTAGCATTTCATTCATGAATCAATATTTCTGAAAATCTGAATCTATTTCAATTCATTTCAATCCATTCTCGTTTTCTGGATAAGAGATATTCATATAGAAAACAAAGATTTTATTTCTGCGATATACAATATGATATATGTGTTTGATATATTTGATATGATTATACAGGCTTGTTGCGACGGAACTTTAAGCTCGTCTCTCGTTTCCTGGCGTGAAAACGTATCTGCTGTGGGTGTGATTTTAGCATCTCGCGGTTATCCGGCATCCTCATCCAAAGGTCAAGTTATAACAGGCACTGATGAAGTGACACGTAAACAGGATTACTTTGTCTTTCATAGCGGCACGACTGTTTCATCAGAAGCCGAATTAGTAACTAATGGTAAAAAGCGGCACAGTAAAGGATATCTAAACAAATGCCTAAGTATCTAATTATAATGCATTTTATAGGCGGAAGAGTTCTTATTACTGTCAGTATCGCGCCAACCTTAGCAATGGCAGCAGCTAGAGCTACCCAAGCTGCTGAATATATATCGTTCGATGGGAAGCAATTTAGAACAGACATCGCGCATAAAGGGATCGCCAGGTATAATGATTGATTTACAGATCAATAAAGTAATACCTCGCACATGATTAACAATTAAACATTTCAGATCTATTTTGCAGAGAGGACAGTTAACATATGAAAGTAGTGGCGTAAGTATCGACGCTGGTGATCATCTCGTATCCGCTATTAAGCCAGCTACTTGCTCCACAAAACGCGCTGGTACTATAGGTGCCATAGGCGGATTCGGTGGCCTTTTTGATGTAAAAGCCGCAGGTTATAAAGATCCTATTCTTGTGTCAGGCACTGATGGTGTTGGTACCAAATTGAAGGTGAATATTAAGTTAAAGATTTCTCTATTAAGTTAAAGATTTTCATATACATTCAAAGAAAATTATTAGAGTCAGCCTGTTTATGAATAATTTTTTTTCTTAGATAGCAATCGAATGTAAGAAGCACGATACGGTGGGCATAGACTTAGTAGCTATGTGCGTGAACGATATCCTTGCACACAACGCGGAGCCGCTATTTTTCCTGGATTACTTCGCCTGTGGCAAGCTCGACGTTGAAGTAGCTACGAAGGTCATAAATGGAATTACTGAAGGTTGCAAACAAGCAGGATGTTCCTTGGTAAGAAAGTGTTCATTACATAATTTAAGAATATTTTTGAAGGCTATTAAATAGAAGGATAAATATCTGTTTCCACTAAATATTTATTTGATAAGATAAAATTAAAATAGTTTTGTAGTTTCAAAAATAAATCAAATATAAGTAAATTATCTATTATTTCGCAGTTATACAAATACTATATATTATGCGGCAATTACAAATATTAAATTATAAATATTATAAGGTAATACATATAATATATCGCCTTATAAATATATTTACGCACTAATAACCATGGAAGCTCATATAGGCAATTTACTTATATTTTATTTGACGAGGTATGAATCAACATTTTTAGGTAGGAGGAGAAACTGCTGAAATGCCGGACATGTATCCTGAGGGAGAATAC